AAACACAGATACCTACTAGTAAAGTGTTAGAACGGTAAGCATGACACCTCTGTTCTAAGCAGGGCCGGTGTAAGGTTGAACGTTAGTGTGCACCTGAGAACTTGAGTTTGGGACGTGTTCCCACCATAAACTAACAGATAAAGAGCTCACTCTGTGCAAAATGCAGTCATGCTGCACACCTGGGTTTGTTTTTTTTTTCTCGAAATCAGAAATTCATATACGTAAGGCAGAGTGCGCCCTCTTAGAAACCTGCACAGGGATTCCTCTGAACTTTGTCTTACGGGCCCTTCCCTTTCGCTATTTTGGCCTGCAGGTTTTTGGTAATGAGTCTTAGCCATGAGTAAGGCTAAACGCCGAGTCTTCCCGACAAATCACCAAGCCGAGGGAAGGGCCTAGTTATCCCACAGGGCAGAGTAAGAAACACTCCCTTATATTCATCTGTATTTCTAAGAGAACATATTTGTAGCAAATATTTATCATACTCGACTTTATGTGTCATCCTCGTAATATAGCCAAACCAATCTCCAGAGGCGCTGTAGTTCCACTTCAATGTTAATGCTGATGAACCGGCTTAATGACAAGAACACTGGCAACAAGGATGGCACAGCTCAACCGTCTATGCAGAACATTTCACAGGTTCAAGCAACACCTGGACAGAAGACTAAACGCAAACTGACATCCATATGGGATGGAGCACACAAGGCCAAGTACACAAGGCAAGGATTTTAGCCATTAGGCTACCACATCAGGCCCTAGGAGACTACTGAAAGAAAAAAAGTCCCAAGCCATCTCTGATGTCTTAGTACTGTTTTGGTCTTGATCACAGCATAAACAGAAAAAGGCGCCTCTGATTTTAATGCAAATGTGCTAATTCAACCCATAGACTTTATAATAAATGTCAACTACACGTTTCAAAAATGAAATATAAGGAATTTTTTAAAAAATTGCAATTCATAGCATCTTTCCTTTATAGAATTTCTGTTTCCACAAGAAAAATTTAATAATATTGAATGCATACTTTACCACAACATGTGACCAGAACTATATCCTAAAGACATAAAAATCATTCACAGAAAATATTAAACTTTAAATTGCTGAAATTAAAGAAGTTGAAACAGGCACCCCATTGAAAACAACCCCCAAAGCTTGCCAAATAATCTCCCTAATACACAGCTTTGTAACTCTGGGACCCAAGAATAATGATCATGGCCACCACCACTGCAGGGAATAAAGTAGGAGGGAGAAAAGAGACAGTCGTAGTCATTCTAGAATTTTCCTTCAGTTTCATTTCCAATGTACTCAGTGTTGTTAATTTTCCCAGTGTTTCAGTCATTTAGTCTAGTGGCACTATTCAAAAGAACAGTATTGACCTTAGCGATTATGTCAACGACTTTTGACTACACCGAAGTTCATAATCTTGAAGTTTCCACAGACATTACACACCTGAACTCCAAATTCTAATCTTTAAGTCCAGCTATCTTCACTAACCAAAGTACCAGAAGGAAAGGTGTTATGCATTACTTTTCTCTTCAAAAAGAAACAAATTTTAATGTTCTATTTTACAACCACCAAACGTATTCTGTAGAGACAGTTCTAAAGTGGATAACAGTTTAATATCAAAAGCACTGCTTAACTGTTCCCCAAAAGCTGAGATGCTTGTGCATCGAGTTTCATTTATCTCAGCATTGAAATGGTACAGTTACCGTGAGTTGTACAATCACTATAGATTCATTAGTAAAGTTAAAATTTCAAAAGTATTAGGTTGTATAACGCAGCATTCCACATATTATCTGCTGTTTAAGATAAACTGTTACTGTGTTCAAACATTAGGTGAAATGTGCAACTCAGACTAAATCAGTGTACAGATCAACGATGTATAGATAATGAAGGTATCAGGGAAACTGGTTAAAAATAATGATGACAGAACTGGTAAGAATATAGCAACCTGGCTGAAATTGATATTCATTAGGGTCCTCTCCACATCAATAGGGAGCATTTGGACTCCCTGGTCTTTATCTGTGTCCCAGCTGGTAATGGTTGAAGGTTAATGCTTTACCCCATTCTGTTCAATTTTCTATTCTAATTAGCCCTCCAAATCTATAGCTGTGAGCACCAAGTGTCTGTGCTCAAAAGAAACTAATTAATGCTAGCAAATTAGATCAAGTCCAAAGATGCAACAGCCAAACTCTTAGTTAAACGCTCCTTGTTAATAGGAAGTGTGGCTGTCAATAACTGCTGTGGGTGACTATAATGAGGCATCTTTCTTTCACTGAAAGTGATTTCATTTCTCTTTGTCCCTGGAAAAGCTGTTCCATTCCCCTCACAAACCTAAGTTGCTGGCAGTGTGACCCAATTCTTAAGATCAGCTGGGTTGCAATCTCACACACACACACACACACACACACACACACACACACACACGAAAAAGCTTTTCTACATAATGTTTCAGGCATTTAGCACAAACTTAGATCACTTACTAAAATTCCTATGTCTTTATCCAAAAATGACACAATTAGCATGTATCATGTTCTTATGTAAAATACTATGATTTGATAAAGCAAAGGGGCTATAAGCAAGAAATAAATAGCAGAGTCCTGATTCTAAATTATGCCTTAATGTTCACTTTAAATGCAGTTTGCTTCTGCTGCTTGAACATTAATATAAATATTCTTCCCCAATTCACATGGTTAAACAGGGAGAACATTAAGGATTTGGTAATCCTTTATAAAAATAATCAATTTTAAATTCTGAAACACTGGTTTGAGCCATATGGCCTAAAAAAAAAATCAATCCATGATTATAAGAAATTCAAATACTCAAAAATCAATCATAGTATGCATTCTGATAAGCACAAATGCAGTTAAATAATCCAAATATATTTCAGGTTTAGGGATGCTTTCAGTATTCAGATTAAGAAGTTCTAAGTATTCAGTAAGCACATTTAAAATCATTAACCATGTCAAAATCCTAAACAATTTTTGAAAAAAAGAAAATGTTGCAATTTCTTTTCCATGCCATTAAAAATAGCTGTGTGAAAAATATTTTTATTATTATAAGTGGTTGCATAAAAAATGCTTTATATTCTATTTTATTTCAAAGACCAAAAGCAAAGGTTTACTGTATAAAGGTATTCTAAAACCCAAAGCTGTGCAAACGTTTTGCATTCTCATCTAAATCATCAATAAAATGCAAACAAAATGTAATATAAATGTAATATAATTATAAAATGTAAGTAAAATGTCATCAAAATGTAAATCTGCAATTGAGTTAGCTAATTTTCTCTCTTTCCAGATATAAAAATAATGTATCACAAACAGCATACATACAACTTCTTATAACTTTAGACAGATAAATCAGAAGTAAATCTTTCTAGTAACAGAGTTAATTCTTATGTATTCAAGATTTATTCATTGTTATTAGAAAGGCAGATTTACAGAGAGAAAGATCTTCCATCTATTGGTTCACTCCCCAAAAGACTGCAACAGCTGGAGCTGAGCCCATCCTGAACCCAGGAGCCAGGAATTTCTTCTGGGTCACCCATGCAGATGCAGTGTCCCCAAGGCTTTTGGCCATCTTCTACTGCTTTCCCAGGCCAGAGGCAGGGAGCTGGAGGGGAAGTGGAGCAGCCAGGACACAAACCTGCACCCATTTTGGATCCCAGCGCATCCACAAGGTGAATATTTAGCCACTAAGCCATAGTGCCAGGCCCCACTAACTTTCTTAACCCTTGTAAATTTCATTCTCCCTCACCTGAATTAGAATATGCATATGTATTTTAAAATTCTGAGGCAAGTGGAGGATTATCACTTGAGACAATCAGCATAACACCTGCCTGTGCCAGATGTGCACTGCATCTTACCTGCAGGTGCTGGGACTGGTTACTCCAATTAAACAACTAATTCATGGTCAGAGCAAGAATAACATTGAGTGACTCTCCCAGTTACTAATTTATGAATGAATTTCAAAGTGGAATAGGTCACTGAACAACACAGATGACCATCACATAATGGTGAGTGTAAGCAATTGCCCTTTTATTTTATTGCCTCCATCTATCCGCTGCAAAGATCATCTCTAAATGGCGGGAAATGGGGGCTGATGGAAATGTTCTCGGCATCTGTATATCACTGACACACTGCTAAAACCAGACCTCATACAGCCTGGCTCTTCTGGAGAGAAGCTCGCAGTGCCCACCATCATCCTCACGAGAAAGTTAAGGAGAGCCCAGGAAAGCAGCCAGATTCAGCTCAACTCTGCTACATTATGATGAAAAACCTAAGACATGAATTTTTTTTAAAAGGGTCTTTGCTTCTAGAGTAATTCTGCCATGTACTTTTCTAACCACTCATCATACATACACAGATTACAGCCTCATGTTTTCACCCTCGGCTGCTTTGGTTCCTTCTGCTGGAATGTTACATAGTAACCAACAATATGCCTCTAAGCATGTAGGACATAAGTAAATTTCACGTGAAAAACATGTTCTACAGAAAGCTTGCTTATAGGTGTTCATGGATTTATAATAGTATTCTCCATTTAGAAGCAAAGCAAAACAAAACAAAACAGACACTGGATTCACTTTAGGTCCTACTGGGACTTCATGAACGGACAATGACTTTAAGGAAAATCACGTTGGAACATATGTAGGAATATGTTGATAGATGAGAAGCAGGCACACGTTAGATTTGATATGCTTATTTTCCTGACAAAAATCATCAGAATAATTCATTTCTCCAAAATACATATACCAATTTTTTTCTCATATATAGCTACACTACTGGGAAAAATTTTTTTTACTAGTAATCTGAGGGAATATTTTTAAACTGGAAATGAATTAAACACCGCCTGGAAGTTCTGAAAGCTGAAACACTGGTATCTCAGGGAAAGGTGAGAAGCAATTCATACATATTAATTCATTGACTACTTGGCTCTGAGGTTAAAGATTAAATTCAGATCATATTATTAAAATGAAATTGATCTTCACATGAATACTGGAATCTTACCTTGAACTTGTTCAGAACACCTCTCTCTGGCCTTTTCTCTCATTATTTTAGGGATCAAAACATCTTTTTCAACATGCCTGAGATGCTGTTCTGGAAAAAAAAAAAAGGTATAAGTTCCAAGTAAACCAATAAATTAAATTTTAAAAACTCAGCACTCTAGTTCATTTAAAAGCCTATGCAGACAAACTAAAAAGATTTAATTATGTATTCTAGACATAGAGTGATGGGGAGAAAGGCAGAAAAAGACAGAGGGAGAGAGACAAAAACAGAAGGTGAGAGAGAAAACACTTCCGTCCCATTAGTTGGACAGTAGAATGATGGAGGACAGGTCAGGCTAAATCTAGGAGCTCAGAACTCCATGCAGGTTTCCCACCAGAGTAGCACAGGACTAGGCACTTGACCATCTTCCACTGCTTTCCCAGGAGCACTAGCAGGGAGCTAGATCAGAAATGGACACAAAATGGCTCTCAAATGGCACGCCGCCATCATGGGTGGGTGGCTTTTTAACCAGATATGCCACGATGCCGACCCCAAAATCTCTTTCACAACTTGATAAACTTGAGATTATTGCATTCACTGAAAATCATTCCGGGTACTTGTTTTTAATATATAACAATAATATAAAGTGTGAGAGATACAGGCAACATCTTTCTAAAACTTCCTGCATACTGAAATAAACACACTTACCTCATACTATAACCTATGTAATCCATCCATTTAATGGTCAAAATTAAATCCTAAATCATTTCCTTAATAAAACACAAAAAGCTTTTTCACCAATATTGATATTCAAGATTAGATATCATGATGAGATTAGAAGACGGAGAAGTAGCCCCCTGACCTAGGACTAAGAGTAGCAGAAAAGTCCAACTACAGATCTCTATATAAAACAAAGCTCATGGGATTCCTACATTTTACAGCTTCCACAATAAGCCACCTGCTCTGGAATCCCACCTGCTTCTCAAATTCCGAGTTAAACAAGGGGAAAGTGCCCTCATGAATCCAAAGTAACAAGTGACAAGCTGGCTTCCAGGGACGAAGGACAGATGAGATCAACCCACAGATAATCATATCCCCACAGAATACCCAGGTGAAAAACTGATGCCAATCTGGGTGCCCATGCTGCAGAACAGCAACCATGGGGTTGCCAGAAAACTGCCCTACAGGAAACTAAGTGGTAGAAAGACTTGAGGAAGTGTCAAACATCCCCCTTCTCTGCTGCCCTCAGAACATGTGTAAAAGATGTAAATGAATATAAGAATTCATCTCCAAAGGGACCAGAATGTTCCCCAGAATCCAGTGACACCCAGGAAGACCAGGAACCCCAACTCTTTGTGGTGCTCTGCTGTTCCCAACAGCTTCTAGATCCAGGCAACTATGAAGTGACAATGCATACTTTCAGAACACCTCAAAAGGCAAACAAAGTCAACATACAAGATCCAGGAGTCACTCAGATATAAAGAAGGACATACAGTGAAACAGAAGAAAAATTCTATTCAACACAAAGGAACCAATCCATAAGAGTTGAGTAAAGGCAGTCAGATTTTGAAGAACACCACATTCACTGAGGCAAATAAAAAAAAAAAATGAGTCCTCAGACAGAAATAGGTCACAGATCACCTTAATGGACTTTGATGAAATCTCTAAAAACCCCGAATCATAACAGACACAGTGAAGAACACTCTGCCCACAGAAAGGCATGAGAACCAGCTGTACATCCCATCTCACCGACAAGCTGTGGATGCAGCAAGTCAACAGAAAAACAAGACTGAAGTTCTGACAGAATTACTTCATATCCAAGATTATAACAATCAATTAGATCACCAAGTAAGACCAAAGCTGGATCACAGCTCAATTGTCCAATCCTCCCTTTGCAAGCACTGGTATCCCTTATAGGTGCAGTTCATATCCCAACTGCTCCACTTCTGATCCAGCTCCCTGTTTGTGGCTCAGAAAAGCAGGAGAAGATGGCCTAAAGCCTTGGGACCCTGCACCTGCATGGAAGACCTGGAAGGAGGCCCCTGGCTTCTGGGTTCAGATGGGCTCCGCTCTGGCCTTTGTGGCCATATAAGGAATGAACTAGCGGATGGAAGATCCTTCTCTCTCTCTTAATCTGCCTTTCCAACAAAAAATAAACAGATGTAAAAGAAAGAAAGAGAGAGAGAGAGAGAGAGAGAGAGAGGAAGGCAGGCAGGCAGGCAGGCAGGAAGAAGGAAAGAAAGAGTGAGCAAAGCTAGGAATGAGCATTTAGTCTAAGTTGAAGCACTCCCATACCATGTCACAATGCCTAAAACCCAGTTCAAAACCCAGCTCTGGTTCCTCATGCCAGCTTCCTACTAATACAGACACTGGAGGGGTGATGGCTTCAGGAACTGGATTCCTACTATCCACACAGGACACTTAGGCTGTTAGGACTAGTTAGGCTAGTTTGGACTGTAACGCAAAACGCCCACATGCAGGTTCTCCATTTGTTGTGGCTCCTGCAAGTACGGCAGCAGATTCATTCTTGCTACATGGTCTGCTTCAAGCCACTACAAACAGCCCACATGCAACCACATGGAAAGTACCATTCTACAACACAGGATGAAAGTTGGGAGACAAGGTTGTGGTACTGGCATTCTCTGTAAAATAAAATCTGCCACAGGTAACACAGAATATTCTATTAAAAAACAAAAACAAATCCATGATGATAAATGAGGATTCATAAAGTGTATACACACAGTACTTGTGCTCAGCATGGTAGCCTAGTGGCTAAAATCCTCACATTGAATGCACTGGGATCTCATATGGGTGTCGGTTCACGTCCTGGCTGCTCCACTTACGTTATACTGATCTACTTAATAAAATCAGTTTCAAAATTTTATCTCCTTTGCCCTATGCAGTTTTAATGCATACAAGCTTAATGTGTTCTAATGAATCTAATCTTTAATCCATAAATCTTGCAATGATCTTCAGATTTTTTATTAGTTCCTTGAATACAGGCATAGCTTTATAATACTAAACCATTTTCCATAAGTAAATTGTAGCAAATTTAACTATATTATCTACTGTTACAATAGTCATATCAAAGACATTTTAAAAATTATTCCCAATAATTCCTTAAATTATTCTTCTAAAACCTTCTATGGTGAAGACACAATCCTAAAACTCCATGCATGTTGATTTCAATTTTCCAAACTCTTGATGTTAAATCAGAAATGACAGTATTAAGAAACGTATAAATTCTGATAATTTCTCTTACTTGAAAATCTACAAATAGCAACTATTAATTATAATCTTATGTATACATACAATTTCAAAGCTATTTTCAACAGTAGATACTGCACATTTACTTACAAAATTACATGATTCCATTAATTTAACGTCATTCCGATTTTAGCATATGTGCTGCCAAATCGAGCACTGGTGATTTAATGTCATAGCGGTACATCCTATGTTAGACATTCCAACATGGTCTGCCCTTCCCCCTCAATCAAATTCTAAAAGTTTGCTACTACAAAGTCATATGAATTTATACTGGGACAAAGAATCAGGGAAAATTTCCAAAGCTCTAACTTCTCAACATTCTATCATCGCCTGAAAGTCAATTTTCACCTTTTTCTCTGGCTGAATTTGTTAGCTCAGATTCTGCTCAGGGGCTCACATGCTCTCACAAGATGGCAGCACCATATTGCACGGTTCCTGACAACAGCACTGGGTAGGAACCCACAAAGGAAACAGTGCCACAAACCAGAGCGTTACTGACTTTTTCATAGGGAAGAACAAGATACATTAAGAGCAAGGCAAACCTCTTCAGTAATGAAAACATTCTGACTTAGAAAAGCTCATTCTTTATTGAAGATAATAACACTTTTTAACTTCCAAGTTAGACTAGCTCCTGAAAAAAAAAATTGGGGGGAGGGCAATATTTTACTCTGAAGAAAACAAGAAAAATGCTTGCTTTAAAGTGTCCTCATTAACATCAGTTTCTGTCTTTAAGTGCCTCTTCTTTACTAGCTACCAAAAGCATCAAAAGGGAAGGCCCCAGACAGATGACAACACATACAACACAGCTAGACCACAGCTATCACTGTTAGATTCCCACTGCTTGCTTCACACCAGGAAGCCAGACAGACTCCAGCTCTGCAGAAGACAGACGAGGATGCCGAGAACCAGCTGCCCAACCTTGCCAGCTCACCCAGATCTTCCTCCTGTGAAGGTAGCAAAGGTGTTGGGGACAGAGGTCTTGGGCCGCAATCCTTTCACCTTACTCCCTTTGAGCCCACCTGGACTAAACAGAAAGGGAAATCAGTAGAAGACATTTTTCTCCTCAATAATTCTGGTTGCCTCCTGGCTGTGACACAAGGAGATGAGGGCAGTGTGAACCAGACAGTCTTCATAAAAAAGGCCCTCTCAGGTCCACTTTGCAGATGAAGAAGTGGAGGCCCACAGATGTGAACTGGAGCAGACCTCTGAAAAATTGGCAATGTCTAGTTCACATAACCAAGTTCTAGACTGTCTAGGAACCACCCAGAACAGGGTGAGGCAGATGGCCTCTTCAACAGCCAAGCTGAATTCTACAGTTAAACTAAAGGACCAAAGCAAGCCTTAAATAACACAGCTGGCTTTCAGAAGCAGCATTTGGAAAAAGCATCAACTCCAAGCTTCATAATTCTCAATTTTATTCAGAAAGCCAAGTTCATATACAATGATTTTTTAATCCCTACCACATCAAAAAAAGAAAGCAAGAAGTGTGTGAGCTTAGGCCAAGGGTGAAGACACTGGTGTGCTGTGAAGTCCTGGGGTTCAACAAGGGCTCTACTGTACCCTCCCACTGATGCACAACCTGGAAGGTAGAAGGGATGGCAAACGTCGTGGAACTCCTGCGACCAGTGAGAGACCAGGATCGCGTGGCCACTGAACAGTAGGAGCCACACGCAGCTCCGGCTACTACTGCCAGACTGAGTTCACGCTCTCTCTCCGTGTCTCCTTCACAAAACCAAAACATAAAAATTAAAGCAAAAGAACGGCTTCTTAAGCTGACTTTAAAGCACTTTCAAAGAAAGTACGCAAAATATTAATCAGCAATCTAATTTTTATAAGCTCAACCTCATACAAAATGTGAAAATTGCATCAGTGAAACAGAGGTGTTTGTTTCTGCTTAGTTTCTGGGTCATATCTGGCAATGTGCTTCACTTGAACTTTTTTGTCCTGTCAGCTTTCACTGCTAATAACCACTGTGTTCACACTAGTTGTGCCCATTTCCCAATAATATCTATTTCTTGGACCTCAGATTTTGCAGATTGTTAGGTGTGAAAACTTCCTCTTCCTTCCACAGTACTTTAACCGACATGTAGCTAGAAGAGACAACAAACCTAAAAGCATACCGAAGCAGGAAATCAACTTACACAATGAGACACGCCAGTTTAAGAAATGTGCTATAATTTCCATTGCCTAGTTATTTAAATGAACTAGTTTTCACTTTACATTCATCTACAAAGGGTGAAACTTCTATTCTTACATGCATTATTTACTACTACTATTTTGTAAAAAAAAAAAAATCAGCAGTCATCGGGGAACAGACACAAAAATGCGACAGAAATGAGAGTGTATGTGTGGCCTTCTTAGCAATACACTGCCTCACTCATGTATTTTCTCTCTTAAATAAACCTAGAAGAATATCCAACTCGATGAATGTCCCTTAATCCCTTTGTCCGTCCCATCCCTACTAATTCTTCTTCATCTTGCAATATATCATAAAGTTTTTACAAAGAGCATGTAGTTGGGGATGGCCTGGTGCTCAACAGGCTACTTCTCTACCTGCAAATGCTGGCATCCCACTGGGTACCAGGTTGTCTCTGGATGAAATTCAAGTTTACTTTCAAAACAAAGAGGTACCCAAATGTCAGGAAGGTTGATGAAAATTCTTCAAGAATGGTGACACTATAAAAAGTATAAATGCTTCCACATAATTCTGCTCTGTGTGAAGACAGATGGACCCATCTCCACCTTTACTCAGACAACATTTTCAACTATCTTTTATTAATGAGGAACTTCAACTTAAATTTTCTACTTACAGCTTCATTTTTGTCATCCTGAGCATTTATCCTCTTTATCTGAAAAATCAGCTTACATTTATATCGTACACAGGAGCACAATGAATATTTGCAAAAGGGTAGAAGGAATGGTTGAAGAAACCATTTTGTACCCATCAACTCAATTAAAAGCAGGTATAAAGAAAACTGGGATTCGGAACTCAAAGTAAGCTGGCAAAAATTCAGTATAAGCAAACTCTAGTTATGTCTTGTCTTTATTTACCTTTGTTAGAGCTTACTCAAAAATGCAACTCAATATCTCTTCAACCCAAAATTCTTCCTGACCCCAAAGCGACTCTAAGGGATTGCTCCTTTCTCTGTCCCCAAGATTCACCCTCCCCAAGGCCTTAGGACCTTAGGACACATCACATAATACATGTGATCTGCCACTGGGTCTATGGATGCTCGACCGTGCTGCTTCCCCTGGCACCAAAGTCAGATGCTGCAGCCATCCATGATAAGCACGGGGGCTCTCACCTCTTTTCTCTTCTCCCTTATCCCTGCTTTCTCTTCACCATGATGGTGGGGGTGGAGGGGACACAATGCAGCCCTCACCAAGCAAAGAGTCCTATGGGTCACTCAATTCACGTGGATTTTCTGGATTCCAGAACAGTTTGGGAGTAAATTTCTGCTGTTTAAGCCACCTGCCTCTGTGTTTGTGAGTCAGTCAGCCTACAGTATTTTGTTATTATAGTCCAAGTACCCAGGGACATATCTGGGAACCAGAAATTCTCAATGCTATCTGTACCTGTTACAAAATTCTGATGCTGGGGCCCAGCTCAGCACAAATAAATCATAAATGCTGGGGTTTTTTAAGCCCTTCTTCCACTCCCTCCCCAAAAAAACTCTTATACACAGCCATACTAAGAAAAATATATTGTGATGTCACAGAATGACTGATCTCTATAACTCCTAGCATATAGTAAAAACACAATAAAGCCATTATCCCATGCATATTTAAAAGACCCAGTATTTCATGATTACATATATTTATTCTCTGAACAAATGTTTGTGAGGCAACTACTCCATGGCTATCACCATGCCAGGGGGCGAGCATGCAGGGCTAAGAGGGGCAGGCTTTCTTATTCTGCAGCAAAAACACTTGAAACTCTACATTCCAATTAAGCATGCTTAGATAATTAACATATCCTTTGATCTGTAAAAATTTCTCTACAATAATTCTTAAGCAAAAAAATAAAAAAAGTAGGATAGTAAACACTTTAATTTCCCCCTCAATCTCATTTTAAAATGCAAAAATAAAACGGGCTGTGTGAAAGAAATGAGAAGTATTAACATTCTTATTTGGGCACAAGTCTATTTGGCCGACTTACATCAAGTACGAGATAATAGTTCTCATATTTTTTGACATCTGTAAGTGCAGAGATGTCTACAAGCGCTCTCCCAGGCCACAAGCAGGGAGCTGGATGGGAAGTGGAACTGCTGAGATTAGAACTGGCATTTATATATGGGATCCTGGTGCATTTAAGGCGACGATTTTAGTGCTAGGCCACCACGCTAGGCCCCGGAGTAGTTATTTTCTGTGGAGAACTTTCTAAGTGGAAAGCCCCTTGAGACTCAATAAATATAATCATGTAAACAAAGGCTTCAAGGAAACTTAACTTCTATATCTTACTCTCCCTACTTCTCATCCTCAAATCTCATATTATGCCATTTACCTGTCATTGATACTGTCTCAACCCAGATGTTTCGAAGAATGGAACTTGCATTATTTTTAACATATTGTCTACCCATTACTATGTCAATTAATTCCATAATGTTGTATATTGATACTGAGGCCTTGTTGGGGCTTTTAACTGACCGGATCTTTACTCTGTTAGACCTATCTTCAGACCATAGAAGGTCTCCCCAAGAGGCCACTGAACTTATCTGGACAATAAGACGCTGAACTTTATGCTAGGCATGTGTTTGCAAGCAATGAATCTCAACTGAACTTGAACTATGGTTATGCAACAAGGTGGAGGAATCCACCATGGGGGGAGGGGTATGGGAGGGGTGGGGGGAATCCCCAGCGCCTATAAAACTGTACTACATAATACAATGTAAGGAACAATAAAAAAAAAAAAAACTGATTAAATGGCAGTATCTGAAACAATGAGTGGATCTTACTAAAGGCCAAATTTGGTGTTTATTTCCAGCAGCCTTCCTGCAGGTGGGTGAACCAAGCTCCTACTAATGAGAGAAAATAAACAGGTTTATCCTTTCTGGTCACCCAGCCCCCAATAAACTTTTTTAAAAGATGGTGAAATCACATAGAAAATATCTGGTGCTTACTACACAGGTAGAATACTGCCCTTTTCAAAGTAACATTTTATTTTTTTAAATATACACACATTTATTTGAAAGGCAGAGTGACAGAGTAAGACAGCGCAAGATACATTCCATCTGCCGCTTCACGCCCCAGGAAGGCCACAAGGGGTGGGGCTGAATCAGGCTGCAGCAAGGAATCAGGAACTCCATTCTGGTCTCCCGCTTGGGTAGCAGGGACCCAACGCACACGAACCATCAACCACTGCTCCCCTAGAGGGTTGGCAGGAAGCCGAATGGGAAGCAGAGAAACTGGAGAAAGGAGGGACCCTGAGGACTGAACCCACCATCCAGGACTCAGGGCCCCCTCCCAATCCCTGCTAATGCAGTACTGCCTTCAATTCCTCGGGTCTCAGTCCCCCTGAATACCTGGTTACCCAGCACTACGGTAAACCTCCTAGACCTCAGCTGCCTTAAATGCGCACCTGCCTAATTAAACTTAGTGACCTTCAGGTTTAAATGGTGAGCTCCAACAATCCCCTGAGGCATGCATATCTCAGTTCACTAACAGCCGGCACCTGCCAGTCCCTGATCCTCCTTATTCCCCTACCCTGAGGCCATTAAAGATGCCTTTCCCCTTTGTTTTCTGCTGTGCTCTGCTTTCACTATCTCCCTACCCCTTGCTACTTCCCCGGCTGAAATAAAGCCCTCTGGTGTGGTTCACTTGCTGTGTCTGGCATCTTGGGTTTGCAGCATGATCTACAACGGGACCGGAAGTCCAATCACCTAGATTTCCTTTAGAATTGGCTGTAGGCGCAACCAGCTGTGTAGCCTTGAGCCAGTCACAAGACTAGAGAGCTGAGAGGAACCGGAAGGTAAGAAACTGGAAACAGGCGTGAACAACACGTGCTTCCAAATTTCCTTGTCCATCTAAATGAAACAACAAACACATGTGAAAGACTTTAACCGGGGCATTTTCAGTTTCCTCAGCTGTATAAGATTGCAAGGTCAGTTCCACTTCAGAAACACCAGAATCACCTAGGACTACACCTTAACATTCCTCAGTCACCCCCTCATTTACACCTCGTCCATCCTCCTGGGTTCAAATCAAGATGTTCACCCTGAGACCCAACACGACCCAATACCTTCCCTGCATTCCAACTACTGGAAACTGTACTCAAGCCGGGTTATACTGCTTATCCACCACACACACTCACCTCATCCCCAAGCCATGAAGTGATCTGGTCACGATGTGTCTTGGAATTCCTTCGTGCTTCAAACAAGAGTACTCCCTGACTGTACCACTACCAAGAAACTTGGGGCCTGGGATTCCTCATCTAGAAAACAACGACCAGACAATCCCCCACTCCACACAGCCACTCTCAGATCACTGAGAACACTGAGCTTGTTAGAAAAAATATAAGGTGTCCAAAAAAATGTACGTTACACATGTAGTTTGACCTCCCTGGGGGCTCCCGAAGTTTCTCTTTCACTTCCAGATCTCCAAAGGTTTCAAGCCATACTACCACCCAATGTGTTGAGGGCTTTGCATTCATGAATCAAAGGAAGAGATGGATCGATATAATAAATAAATATATGTGTATATATATATATATCCAAAACGAATTTCTAGATCCATACTTTTACATAAACAGCCTAAATTTTCAAGAAAATATGCAGATGGTCTTCTACAAAGAGAATTCTAGAGTAACAACTACTGCAAAGACAAAGTACATGACAGTTTAAAACATTCCAGCTTTGAAGGCTCCCTTCCCCTCTCCCCCATTAAACGCCTTGTCACAGGAACGGTTTCTTGAACTCCTAAGGACGAACTGAAGGTTCGCGAACCTGAGAAAAGGAATATGAACTCCTGCACCGGCAGGCATACGCAATTTCTTCTGGGTCAAAGGTGCCTACACCGTACAGTGCTTATTCTGTGCCCTTAAGCAGAGACAAGTATGGCGAAGAGATGAGCTGCGCCTGGAGGAGGAGAGGTTTGCACGTCACCAAATGGATAAGGAGTCGCACGCAACAACCGCGAAGCCCATCACCTAACCCTCACCCCAGCGAGCCAAGAAGCCGGGGCCGGCCAGAAAACACCACAGAGGGCGGGGTGTGTGCAGAATCGGTGCTGCCCTCGGGAGCTCGGGCCTTGCCCAGCCCGGCGGCGCGAGCCCAGCGCCCCGCAGCAAACCACGCAGCAACCCCCGTACCTGCGGGGTCGGGGTCGAGCGCCATCTCGGCGGGGAGGTTCCCGGGGAGGGAAAAGGGGCGGACAGGGGAGGAGCTGGGCTCCACGTGCGCTCGCCCGGAGCTTCCCGCTACCGGGAGCCGCGGGAGGAAGAGGAGGGGCACCAAAGGGAGCAGGCGCGCGACGCCCTTCGCGATGATCCGCCAGCTCCTGGCAGCCCTTCCCTCGTTCCTGCTTCCGCTGCCCAGTGCGCCTGCGCGCCGCCCGCCCAGGCACTGGAGTGGAAATCTCTGTGGGAAGGTTCCAACGAAGGGGGCGTTGCTGCGCGCCGAGGGGCGTGGCTGCGCGCCGAGGGGCGGGGCCGGGCTGCAGGCTGAGGGCGCACCCGGGCTGGAGCAGAGCCTAGGTTGGAAATCATCATCGCCATTCCCAAGTGGGAGCCTCCTACTGTATATCTGAAAACCAAATGAGACTAGATCGTTTTCTTCATTAACGTGCATTCATTCATAAATACTGCGAGCCAGCCAGGCTCCAGCAGGAGCCATAGTGGAAAACACCTGAGAAAAACAAACAGAAAAAAAAAAACCGGGTCGTTTTCCAAGGCCGGTGTCCGCAAAGGGGAGTCAGGCTTACAACCTGCTGGGAAATGCGCTCAGCGCCCACGCGCGTCCGTGCGCAGCCCACCCGCACGGAGCAGGTGCGCTGTGGGCCCTTCTCCCGAGTTCTAGGGGTTTCTGTAAGAGCCCCAGGGCGTCCAGTCCGCTTTGAGGGCTGTTTCAAGCCAACTCTACCGATTAAAAAACGAAGGAAGATAACCACATCCTCCTTAAAACTCCCCTGCCCCTCCCATAGAAGGAATTTGGAGAGTGGGGGGTCGCGCGCTCAGCTGACCCCCCACACCCCCAGCACCAGCCCCTCCGGGACTTGCCTTCCTGTCAAGTCCACCTCGACCCTGCTCCAGTCTCCCCTGCCCGGGTGAGGCGTGGCCGGGGACAGATGGGACAGATGTTTAGAAAAACAAGGAGCAGCTGCCTCTTCCCTGCAAGGGATTTGGGGCTTTCAAAATGATCCCCTCGCCTCCTACCTGCAGGCCCTGCTCCCCCGCTGCTGCTTCCGCCTGGTCAGTTGGCAGAGAAGTTGGACGCAGTCGAGCCGCGCTGGGAAAGTGGGTCTCTGCTCAGCAGGTGTTCTGTTTAAGGGCCTGTTTGGGCATCAGGGCCCTTAGTGCAGCTGTAGCCCCAGGTGCCAACGAGGGGGAATTAACTTTTCCTTCAGCCAGGCGGGAAAGAGGGTCCTTCCCCTTGCGTGTTTTATAAATGTGCTTAGCACACCGAATGCAGAAATCAAAAACAAATCATTCTGAGGAAATGTAGTAAGACCCAAGTGAGGCATCCGCATTCAAGCTAGGGAGGGAAAAAAAAAAAACCTGAATTTGAAATTTGGGAAAAGTTTCATAAAATGTTGACCTGGATCATACAGAAATGTATAGGAAAAGGGTAGATATAAGAATAATTGTAAAAGAGGAACGAAGACTTCCTGATTGAGTTTAAGACACTGGGGAAAACCATTAAGAGGCTTTCCAAACGACTCCTTTCCTCTGCCAATATTTTCAAATGGGAAAATCATGGCAACATGTGTATTCATGGCCACAACAATCTCTCCCTGATCCTCATTGCTGGGCCAGTGTCCAGGCAGACAGCAGCTAGGAAGAAATGGCAGTTGCCATAGGGAGCAGTGACTTTGGCTAAACCATGCTAGACCACGTGGAGGTAAAAAAAGAAGTGCTTGCAATGTAGACTGGCCGTTGAAAATACACACAGAGCCATGCATCTCTGTATTTTTTTCTAATAGGCAAGGCATGTTTGAATAGAAGCACATATCTTGTTTACCAAATCAGTCCTGACTGGAGGTAGCAGTCCTGTCTGCTGCCTGTAGGTACACACTTATTTTTTGAAAGTGAAATGGCAAGTCAGCCCAGCTTGCTGCGAATTCTGCCGAACATCACAAGTAAAGGCTTTGCACCCCAAGTCCTCTCTACGCTGTCTTTGAGTCAACGAGAATCAAATGTGTGAGAATCAAGTCAGATATTAGATGCCCCATCCCTATTAGTGGACGGAGTTTAGAACAAGTTCTTGCCTGGATCACTAACCAGTCCTTGGTGTCCCTGACTGCCTTCTAAGCAGCATAGTTTATCACCTGGCACCGCAAGCTGGACCTTCTCTGACGCGAGTGGACTCAAGTGCACGCCGGCCACAATGATGAAGCTTCCAAAGCTGGATAGCTTACACAGCAGAAACTGTTATTCCACAATTGAAGGCTAGAAATGTGACATCAAGGCATCAGCAGGTTTGGTTTCTGCAGATGCTTCTCTTCTCGACCTGCAAATGATCACCTTTCTGCTGTGTCTAAGACAACGATTTATTTCTTATTTTGAAAATCAAAGTTACAGAAAGAAAGGAGGAGAAACAGAGATCTTCCGTCTACTGATTCACTCTTTAGATGGCCACAGCAGCCAGTGCTGGGCCAGGTCTAAGCCAGGAGCTTCATGCGTGTCTCCTATGTATATAGCAGGAAGCCAAAATATTCGAGTAACTTTCTTCTTATCTCCCAGGTCGTTAGAGGAGAGTAAGATCAGAAGTGAAAGAGCTGGGACTTGAACTGGCATCCGTATGGGATGTGGCATCACAGGCAAAAACACGTCTACTAAGTCACGATGCCAAGACCCTACTTGTGTCTTCACCCTGTGTGTGTATCCTGGTCTTTCCTGGTAAGAACACACCACATTTTGGATTGGGACATACTCCAGTGAACAAACTAATAACCTCATTTTAATTTAAACTGCCTTATTAAAGATCCTCTCTCCAAATAGGATCACAAATTAAGGTTTTTGAGGTTGAAACGTCAACATATGTATTTTGGAGGACACGATGAATGCCCTAACAACACTCAAGTTGTTTGCAAAGACCTAACATCCTTCCTGAATCACAAATCACTTGACTGCAGCCCTGGCAACCTACCTTAGCCCAGCTGCAGCTGTTGCAGCCATTTGGGGAGTGAATGTGTGGACAGCAGGTCTCTCTCATTCTGTCTCTCCTCTCTGACTCTTTCAAATGAAAACATTTTAAGCTACTTTTTGGCTTTTGAATTGAGATGCAAATTATGTTCTGTTCAGTGAAGGACATACGTATTTGTGTAGTTTGATGACTTTCTATAGATAGATAGATAGAGAGAGAGAGAGAGAGATACAGATATGCATCTTTTAACTACCAGCCCTAACAAGGCACAGAATATCTCTCATAACCCAAAAGGTTCCTTGATAGTCCCGTCTAGAACAAACTCATTCCCAGTGTAAGTCTTCTTCTCTTCCTTTCCACCAGCACTGGTATTTGAACCTTACGTACCTGCGATCCTACAGTGTGCACTCTTTCATATCTCACTTTTCTTGGTCAACTCTGTAGCTATGAGCTTCATTCATGTTGTGTGTATCTCCATCTCTGTTCTCCTCATGTGCCACTCAGTGCATCACTTATCCTAGCCTCAGTCACTGATGAGAGTCCACCTCAGTCATTGATCTGAGTCTTAACGATGACCTATTGCAAATCCTGATGGTATTGTCTGATACTCAGGAGGTCATTCATGAGCCATAGCCTGTGCTGCTGTGAGAGTCATCCTTTTCCTCTTTAGTTCTTGCTTTCTGGTAAGCTGTTCTTTTCCACTGCTACCATACTACACACAACTTACACATTTTTTAATTGTTCAGAGCTACTCTACCCTACACATTAGATTCTATATTTAAATCAGTATTACGTGAAACATCCTTCAAATGAACAAAGGTGATTCAGCAGTGTGCCCTGTCACTTATCAGGTGAGAAAAAAAAGTGTGAAAAACACACATCTCTCCTATCTATAGTTCATATTTTGTTTTTGCCATGTATTGTTTTCTGGGTGGCCTGCTGTGAGACACAATTTTCTCTGAGGTCAGAGATTTTTATTCCTGAAAAATAAAATAATGCAAGTAATACTAGTACCATAGCGGGAGTTTTATAGAATTTCTCTTATTGTGATCTTGGGCAGATGCTGTGATCCTCTGTAGAATTTCTCACAGGAGCTGATGGAGAGCAGTAGTGCTTTTTGTTGTACACTGAGATTAAACTATCAGGGACATTCTACTCAGATGATCACTTGCACTGAAAACAACTCAGGGAACTTCTTACTCATTTCCAGGAAAGAAAATTGTCCTTGCCCAATTAAGCTAAAGTAGGGAAAATGTCTGGAATGCAGCACCCACTATTCCCCCCTTAGTCAGATTTCCTACACGTCTTGCTCTGTGTGAGCCCTGAGGACTCAGGCCCCACCCTTGCGGATCTCAAGTACAGAGAAACAGAAGCAGACATACAATGTATGATGTCAATGACAGAAAATGTTGTGGCACTCTAGAGATGAAAATCAACCCAACATCCAGAAGACTTCATATAAATGCTGTGTCATGAAAAATAAAGAATTTAAATGGCCCGGTGCAATGGCTCAGTGGCTAAATCCTTGCCTTTTAACCGCCAGGGTTGCATACTCATGCAGCTCCCAGCTTGTGGCCTGGCAAAGCAGTAGAGAATGGCCCAAAGCCTTGGGACCCCGTACCTATACGGAGACCCGGAAGAAGCTCCTGGATTCTGGCTTCAGATCAGCTCAGCTCTGGCCACTACAGTCACTTGGGGAGTGAATCAGTGGCCAGAAGATCTTTCTACCTGGCCAGAATAGTTGCTTAGTATGTATTTTAAATTATGTTTAATTTTAAATTAATTTTTATTTAAAAAAAGTTCGTGGGATATTTGATCACCTGGAATTCTAACTTTCTTTCATTTTGACAAAAAACACTACCAAGGAGACTTCTCGCTTTTTTTAGCTACTTGTTAATTCATGAGCTCTTGGATTCAAGGGGTTTAGCTGATTTATGGCCTAGACCTTGCTAGATATGCCTTAGTCTGATGTTCCCCAGCCTTCTCTCCATCCAACTTGCTTGTCTCCTTGGTTTCTACGGAATTCCTACTGAGTAGCGGAACGATCTTCCTTGATCTGATTTTTTCACTGACATGTGGTTTTGAAATAGTCTATGACCCCTAAGTTGAAGGACCCATTTAGCTGGAGTGACTGGCTTGGAGAGAGAGCTCTGACCGATCTCTCCTTTTTCTCTCTTTGCCCTTTTCCCTGGTGCTACAAGCAAACA